ACACACACACACACACACACACACACACACACACACACGCACACACACACACACATACGCACACACTACACACAGCACTCTTTTCTCTCCCCCATCACCTTTCCAGCAGATGGTATTTAAATTACATAATCCACACTCTAATAGAGAAGGACACACGCTGTAAGGTTTCGCCGGATGTTTGAAATCACTCTCCCATATCTTCTAAATGATTACAAAACACTATAAGATGGTTCTCTCTACGAAAAAGCGTCATTCAAAAATCCATAACTATATTTATTGATGTTGCCACAGGCGCAACCCCCCCCCCCCTAACTCCAGTTATGTGTCTGTTTGATTGTTTGTTTGTTTCTTTCTTAAATAAAAGCTCCTTTTACAGCAGTCTTTGCACCTCTTTTTACAGCAGTCTTTGAGCCCTTTCAGTGCAAAACAGGGCTCCCCTTAAAAGCTACCGTCGAGCCCGCTCTAACTCTGACAAACATGTGTCCAAGATAATCACCTGTACAAACAACCACTACCCACTTCCGCTCTTGCGGGGATTTTTCCCCCTTCGATATACATTATAATGATACTGTCCTAAAGGACTATCTGTTTAAGACAGTGGGGATAACTTGGTCAGAGACAGTTGTTATTTAATGCCGGTTTGGAAATACATGAAAGTGAGCGGGACGAACATTTCTGCCCCTTAAACACACAAAAAGTGGGCCCTAGCTATGAAAAAGAAAAGACGACAGCAGCGGGTAATGGTAACTAGTACCTTGTGCAAGAAAAACGACAATTATTCCGTTGGCCGACTGATTGATCGGGAAAGACAGTCGACTATTACCATACGGCCATACGCAACCCCACACATTAGTATGACGATTGAGATGTACATGTGAATCATTCCTGTCCTCGTGAGGTGCTCACCCTCTTCTATCTCTCACTCTCAGCCTTTCTTTAACAGATTCGGCTGTATTGTGTCACGATGCAGTGGGAATACACGGTCATTAGTTCTTAGGCATTTGAAGTTTATGATATAATCTTGAAGCTGGTACATTTGTCTATCTTTCAATTTAAGCAATACCCATATGTCTCGAATAGAGGTCGAGATATTGACGATTGAAGGGGGTGTGGGTCGCCAGGTTTCAGAGGTAAAATTATTGAGAAAAGGGCCGCCAAAGAGTCGTGACTTCTATAGCTTGAAAGTCCATGGAAACTGAAAATTTACTTTTTTGTGTCTTTAATCAACGTTTTTCAGTAAAATCCACATAGAAATTTGGTCTCGATTTGAGAAAAAAATGTTAAGCCACAAAAAAAATTTAATCAATAAAAATTACCAAACCGATGAAAAAATGCCGATTTCTTTGATTTCATTATTTTGAAGAGCACCCGATTTCACCACGATGCCTCATATAAAACTATGTGTCTGTATAGATCTATATACAGCTTGCTTGACCTTTTGAAAACCCAGCAGGATGTGACTGTCACTACTGTCAGCTTCAGATAAAGTCCGCGCACTTGTCGGAGGGAACATTCAACAAGGGAAAAAGAAAATGTCTCAACTGTTCTGAAGAGGCCAAACCCAAATGTTTTAGTTCGGCGAGCGCGCGCGTGTGTGTGCGTTTGTGTGTGAGTGTACGTGAGTGTGTGTGTGTGTGTGTATGTG